GAAGCGCTTTAGGACCGATTGTTTCCAACAAGACCAAGACCGATGCAGGCAGAGACATTTGAAGTGAAAAGAGCGGGAACAGGTTTTGAACGGGTTCCCGCGCCGCACGGTTTTGAATTCGGTTGTAATAAGGGAATGTACCCCTTAGAGTACATGGCTAGTCTAGGTCCTTTCGTATTCCCTTGTACTCATATATAAACTCGATGTATGCATGCTATTATCAACTCAGTCATTTACATTCACTCTGACCTGACATTCAAACTTCCGCTGCAATACTACTCCGCAATCAACCCTGAGCGATCCTTTGCTAAGTCCCACTTGGGATTGTAACATCTCAAAAGATGGAGACGACCAGAACACGGTTCTCATCGTGTCACAGAACGTTTCTACTCATTGGGAAAGAAAGAATGCCACCTCCAAATCTAGACAGATTGTGAAAGTCTACTTAGGCTGACTTGCAAAGGCAGCGTTATCATTTCAAATGCAAAGGCAGCGTTATCATTTCATATGGGTTCTAGTACATCATTCTCGTCGTATACAAGTCTACATAACAGCATACACAATGGGGTGGGCAGGTGGGAAATTAGAACTACAAATTGAGAAATGAAAACGTGGGTGGGGACGAATGTCCCCACGTCCCTCTTTTGTAGGCAAAAGAGGGCGAGTAGCGCTTTGGCGCTACCTTTGCTGTGTTGGCCACGTACCCCTTTTCACAATACAAAATTTTAGAAAGTGTTACATTTCATTACACTTTCAAAAATTATCATATTGTGAAAGTCTACTTAGGTTGACTTGCAAAGGCAGCGTTATCATTTTATATGGGTCTTCTGAGGCAAGTGCAGACGGGGCTGGCGGTGCCGTTCGATTGATAGCTGGTGCGTGGCGGGTGAAGGAGCCGCCGAAGGATCCTGCAACTGCGTGGAGAGGGAGATGAGCTGATCATGCGCGATTGTAACGTACATCTCCTTCGCGCCGTCGCTGCGCCATTGGCCCATGCGTTTGAAGAGCCGGTCAGGAACTCTGAGGCTTGCCGCCGCAGTGGCTGCGCCTTTGCGGAACGAGTGGGTTCCGATGTGCGCGACATCCAGTCCAGCCTGCCTGCCGGCCGCGAGACACCAGTTTCTGATCGTGACGTAGGACGGCGATTTGTCGTCCGGCGTGGCTTGCGAGTTCTTGGAAAAACCCTTATTAGCGGTCCATGGGGCACCTTTGTGAGGCCTGCGATACGTATGAAATTGCGTGTGCACCGCACTGGGCAGTATGGGCCGGAAATTGCTGCCACTGGGATCCATACACCCCTCCCTTCCTGGTCCGTCTTGGAGTGCAAGATGAGCAGCCACATTGCCTTCTCCTCGAACTGTACATCATTCCACTGGAGCGATACGAGGTCAGAGTAGCGCAAGAACGCCGAAAACATGAGAAGCGGAATCAATCCTTTCTGGTATTCCGAAGGAATCGATGATTCGAGGAAGGGACGGGCCATGTCGTGCACTTGATGGAGAGATATTGGCTCTTTGGTCCTGGCAGGCCGAGGACCATGTCTTTTGGCGAACTCTCGCACTTGCAAGGTGAATGGTCCGATCGTGGGGGAGGCTTCGCCTGTCATGCTGTGGGCGAAGGCCACTGCCGAACATGTGAGGTTTATCGCGGAGAGAGTTGCCTTGTTGTTGAGCGCATGGATGAGATACAACGCTAGCGTCAGGTCGGTTGCCGGTAGGAAGTCAAGCTTGACTTTGGTACAGAAGGGGCGAAATCTCTGCCAATAAGGTTGGTACGTCTCGATTGTAGATGGTGCGCGAACGTGACTAATTACGTGCATAAGTTGTTTCTGTAGTTTGCCCAACAGTCCTGAAATGACACATTAATGGATTGTATTAGATTGCATAGTTTACACGCAAAGCAATGATTGGGCTATGAGGCAATCCGAGACCAGAAAATGCAGTGGTGTGTGAACCTGCCCGAAGGCATTGACTGCCTTGGGCAATGGCAAGGTGTGCCACTACAGCTGGGGCCCACGCTTGGGTGGACGGTTGGAGAAGCGGCCACCATGACGCCCCGATCCACTGGGGAACGACCAGCGTGAGTTCCGTGTGCGTGAGTTCGGCATGGCGAAGTGTAGCGGGGACTAGGTGTGGCGGCGGGAAGGCAAAGCATCTCTCACCTTTCCAAGAAATGGAAAATGCATCGACAGCGAACGCGTCGGGATGCGGTATCTTGGAGCAGACGCGCTGAACTTGTTTGTTCCGGGCGTTGGCAAATAGATCAATTGTGTGGGGCCCCCAACGACGGTCTAGAAGGCGAAACCAGGGCGCGTGTAGGGAGTAGTCATCATGATTCTGCAGCTTGGATAGGTCATCTGCCTGGACGTTGAGCTCTCTCGGAATCCATTCAATCGCGAGGCGTGTGGTGTTGCCGAGGCAGAACTGGATGATCGCTTGGCATGTCAGCGTAAGGTCCGCCTGACGGGATCCCCCCTTGCGCAAGATGAACATAACTGCCTGGTTGTTGACCCGGACGAGGACGTGAGCACCTGCAACTTGGGTTGCGAACGTCTGCAGTGCCCAGAGCACTCCCTCGAGCTCTCGTTGCGTGCTGGATGTGCGGAGGAGCTCGCGTGGCATGCATGCGCTTGCTTCGCATGATGCACTGGGGAACTTGGCCAAGGTGGCACCCCAGCTGTGTGCGCTTGCGTCGACGTGGATCACGGCATCAAACCGTTGACTCTGGTGGAATGGGGCACCATTGAAACGATCGAAGTGGACTGTCCAAAACAATAGCTCCTCCATCGCTACTTGTGACAATTTGACCCTCGCGTTCCATGACCGCGCGGAGTCGATCAAGTGCAGCAGCTCATGGCTGAAGGCACGCGCCGTCGTGCCTAGTGCGAGCAACATGGAGCTTAGAAATCCGGTGATTCGGGCTATCTTGCGAATCGGCACTTGTCGACCCGATTGCCCTTTTTTAACGAGTAGGTGGAGCTCCTGCAGTAGTTGCTCACGCCGATCTTCTCCAATGAGGAACATCCCTCGTTCCGTGTCGAGCTCCATCCCCAGGAAGCGCAAGTGGTGTGTAGGATGCAGGTTTGACTTCTTAGCATGTATCACGAATCCCGCCGCCTTCAGGTCTTGGAGAACTTCGATGCACGTCGAACGGGCTTGCGTCTCGGAATGGCACAGGAAGAGTAAATCGACCACGTACGGAATTACGCGCACTCCGCGCGTGCGCCATCTCTTGGCCAGTTGCTTGATTAGCTGGGTGAAGACGAACGGGGATGTTGCCAAGCCGAAAGGTAAAGATGTGAAGCAATAGAACTTGCCATCCAGTTGAAAGCCCAAATACCTCCAGCAGGATGAGTGGATTTCGACGTGGTGGTAGCCTGACTTCAGATCGATGGTGAACATCCAGTCGTTTGGGCGAATGATCTCCGCGACCCAACCCAAGCCCTCGTACTTGAACTTAGGAACTTGGAGGTGAGCGTTGACCTTCTGTAGGTCCAGAATGAGACGGCATTTGTCTCTTTGCTCGACAACATTGAGCGGGCTAATGCATGTCAGTGCTGCCTTCGACGAGACCTGTACCGCGGCTCCTGACGCGATGAGGTCGCTGACGGCTCCTTGGGTGAAAGCCATGTGTGCTTGAACCCCTGCGTGATTGAGGGCTTCGAAGGGGGTTGGCTCCTCGCCCTTCCATGGTAGCCAGTACCCTTTAGCAAGGATGGAAATGATGAAACTGCTGTCACACCATGATAGCCACCAGTGGAGGCTGTTGCGCAATCGCCTTCGCGTGATGAACACCATGTTGTCCGTTATTGCATGCTCGTATGGGTCCCAATGAGCGTCGTGCCACTCGCCTTCTGCAAACGGCGGGCAACCGAGGTTGTAGGGAGGAACAAGAACCAAGGTCGATTAGACGCGATAGATGGCAAACACTTTGACCACTTGTCGGCCATGACGCCCTTGCATGGTTTTTTTTTTTTTTTTTTTTTTTTTTTTTTTACTTGGAAGTCGCTTTATGGTGAGATCGATGTGCTCGCGTCCCTAGGTCCCATGACCTTGTTTATCATGATGCCGTCATTGGCCTCCTTCTCTCTCCCTCTCTCTCTTTCCTTCTCTCTCTCTTTCTTTCTCTCTCTCTCTCTCTCTCTCTCTCTCTCTCTCTCTCTCTCTCTCCCTCTATCCCTCTCTCACCCTCTCTCTTTCTCTCTTTCTCCTACTCTCTTCCTACTCTCTCTCTCTCTCTCTCTCTCTCTCTCTCTCTCTCTCTCTCTCTCTCTCTCTCTCTCTCTCTCTCTTTCTCTCTCTCTTCACTCTCTCTCTCTCTCTCTTTCTTTCTCTCTCTCTCTCTCTCTCTCTCTCTCTCTCTCTCTCTCTCTCCCTTTATCTCCCTCTCTCTCTCTCTCTCTTTCTCTTCTTCTTCTCTTCCTCATTCCGTGTTTCTCTCTCTCCCTCTCTCTCTCTCTCTTTCTCTCTCTCTCTCTCTCTCTCTCTCTCTCTCTCTCTCTCTCTCTCTCTCTCTCTCTCTCTCTCTCTCTCTCGTTTTTTTTTTTTTTTTTTTTTTTTGGATTTGCTTTTCTCAGCCCTTATTTCGTAATTTACACCTAGCCAAGCTTCCTTCATGGCTGCCTTCTTTGAGGATGGGCTTGCCTTTGATTTGCCATGCCCTCGTTCCCTCCTCTTCTCTCTCTCTCTCTCTCTCTCTCTCTCTCTCTCTCTCTCTCTCTCTCTCTCTCTCTCTCTCTCTCTATCTCTCTCTCTCTCCCCTCTCTCTCTCTCTCTCTCTCCCCTCTCTCTCTCTCTCTCTCTCTCTCTCTCTCTCTCTCTCTCTCTCTCTCTCTCTCTCTCTCTCTCTCTCTCTCTCTCTCTCTTTTTTAATTATTAATCAACTTTTATTATTCCACACAAAGGCATACAATCCTAGGCATACGGCCTATCCAGCCCCTATGGCTATGCTTGATTCCTGGCCCCCTTGGCCTGAGCTACCCTCTAAGGCTCCTGGCCAGCCTACGCACCACCGGTGCATCCACCTACGCCCCCCGGCATAGTGGCAAGGGGCACCGCCCCATGGGTCCTCTCACACCACGGGTGCGGGGCCTTGTGCGCCGCCTTGTGCGCCACACCCTCCCATAGGGCAATTGTTTGCCATGTGTCCGGGCTGGCCACAACAGAAGCACACGCCCTTGAAGCGGGGCTCGTGGCAGCTCACGGTTGGCATGCCCTTGCTCTCCGGTTCGCCATCTCGAGCGGGAAGGCGACCTCCGCGGGCGAAGCCGGTGCGTGCACGCTTGAGGGCCGCCACGTCGGCTACCGCAAGCTTGTAAGAGCGCGACGTGAGGACGCTCTTGGCTTGGTAGAGCTGGAACCGATCCGCCGCCTCAAACCCGGCCTCGTCCGCCACCAAGAGCACCTCGAAACGTTTGTTGATGAGCGTTTCGACTTGCGCCACGTTGGAGAGTGCGCCCTCGACGTCGCCGTTGCGGAGCTTGAACTCGACATGCCTCAGGTGCGCTTGAATTGCAGAAAATACCTCTGCCTGGTCGCGCACTCCTTTGCGCATGAAGGTAGTAGCTGTGGGTGACGGGTTAAGGGGAGGTAGGGGGGGTGCGGGTGCAAGAATGCGACGGCGGGCAAGGTTGTCGGGGGCCTCACCGTCGTCATTGTCCGAGTTGTCGCTGTCGTGAATTGCAGGAACTTGAACTGGTTCAGTAGGCAGGGCGGGCGCAGGAACGGCGGTGGTGGCGCGGGCGACCTTGGTGGTGCGAGTTGCAACTGCCTCTTTCTGCTTATCCGTTTTTACGGACGCAAAATTATAGTCCGTCGATGTAGCAATTGTACCGGGCGCCTGCTGCTGCAATAGCGAGAAAAGCGCTTGCAGCTGCTGCGCAGTCAAAGGGGGGGGGGGGGGGGGGGCGTTGACTTGCGCGACGTTAGCGGAGGGTGCCGCGCGCTGGCGTTTCTGGGTCGTGGGCCCGGGTTGACCCGCGTCAGCCGCGGTCAAGACGGCAGCCGCGTCAGCGGCCGTCATCATCTTCTGCAGCGCGCGTGCCTGCCTGCCTGGCACGCGCTCTTCAGCAGTCACGCGCGGCTGCTATGCAGCCGCGCGTGTTTCTTCTGACGCAGCGCGAGGGGTGCCGCCGAGCAGAACTTCGGCAGCCGAGGGTCCCTCGGGAGAAATTTCTTCCGAGCTCCGTTTCCCGCGGCGATCGTTTCCCCCGACGGGAATTGAAGTTTCTCCCGCGTTACCGGGGCTTGAAGTGGTCGCGTTGTCGCGGTTAAGCGTCGAGTTCGCCGGAGCAGGCCCTCAGATTCGTTTTAGACAACACTTTCTGGTCAGTGTTGCTACAAAAAAAAAAAAACTTTCTGTCAGCCTCCTTATGAAGAAAAAGCCTGAAAAATCAGTGTAGGGTAACAAAAAAAAACTTTGCCTTCAGGGAAGGTAAAAAATTTTAGGCTTTTTTTGAATAACTCCTCCGTTACCGTTACATATGTTATACTGTGATGTGACATGACAAGGGAGTCAAGGGAAGGGATGTTACAAAATTACATATTATGAATGAATGAACCAAGTATAGCAAAGGCATTACTAACTAGATTATAGCAAAGGCATTACAAACTAGATTATAGATGCCTCCTACCTACCTACCATACCACATCTCATCCTCGTCATAATCGCCACCATCTCCCTTAGCCTCTACATCTAGGTCTACCGGGTTGGCCTCATCTCCATCAGCCTCCTCCTCCTCCTTACCTCTCCGCCTCCTATCCGCCTCCTGCCTGGCTATGTTGCTTGTGTTGAACGGCTTCCGCTTCTTGTAGTTGCGCCAGATCTCCACAATCTCATCCCAGTTCGGCTTGTAACGGAGCAGCGACATGCACATCAAGTCGCTCAGCCGAGCATCTTTGAGGCTGCCTCGCTGCCAGGACTTTATGACATTCTGCCGCGAGAACCCGCGCTCGCATTCCACGGTGCTCAGCGGCAGAACCGACACCGCCACCCACAGCCGCACCAAGTTCGGGTAGTGCTCCTGCCAGTCCTTGGTCTTGAGCATGGCGGTGAGGCCCGTGTGGAACCCGCGCTCGGTCTTCGGTGCACGTGCAAGTACGGGGATTAACAACCGCACTTCCTTGAATGCTCTTTTCTTGTCGACCCCTGCCGTCACAAAAAACAAGAATAGTTAATAACACTGGAGTGATGTCATTAAATATGGCACCTATCTCTAGATTTAGAAATGCATCAAGCAACACAATGAGAATCGGCTCACCCGGTACGATTTCCTCGCACTCCTCTGCGCGGAAGAGAGTGATCAGCAACTCAAGGTACTCTTGACACTTTGCCTGGCGCTCGTGCCTGCCAAGCGGCCAAGAGTCGGGGGTGAACAATTTGACGCCCGACAGCTTGTCAAGGTCGCCCAGACGATCCTCGAGGTTGGCCACGATAAGCTCTGCAAACTCGGTGCAGATGTCCAAGCATGCCTCGTGGTGCCCTGGTCCAGGGTAGTCCGGAAGCTTGTCTTCATGCAGGATGAATGTGAATGTGCTCGGCTGCCCGTCCGAGTCAACTCCCTCGATGATGACCTCCCGGGTGCCTTCAGGACCATGCTTCTCTAGCCATGGTGAGAGCCTTGGACTGAGACCGGCGCCGAACTCGTCCCCACAGTCAACGTAGCGAGCCTCGAGATGTCCCGTTGTACGCCAAATCTGCGCATGAACAGCTGCTAGATCGAGCTGGGGAGGAAGCAAAACAGAAGACATAGAGGTGTTAGTTAGGTTGAACAGTGCGAGTCATGATAAAAAAAAATATAACAAGCCTGTGTATAAGGATTAAACCATGGCAATTACTCGGCATGACCACAAAAACGCACCTCGCGTCGCTGGAATGTCCTACTCAGGACGTTCATCTGGTCAAGGACATCGGACAGGAAGAGGAGGAGAAAGTGAAACCTGTACGACGTCACCACATTATACAGCTCCTCATTCCACTCCTTCAGCATCGTGATGACGGCAGGCAGGACCGCCACAAACCTGGCGATGGCATCACCACGTGATAGCCACCGCACGTTGTGAATCCCTTGCAGCTCCAGGAATGTTTGGGAGAAGATTTCCTGCAGGTTCATGAAGCGCTGATGCCATGGACCCGAACGGCCCAGGTGCTCTGCAATGGCGCGGATGGTGCTGTCGATCATTCCGAAGACTGGCATGTTGTCTGCTGCATCCTTAGCAGCAAGGGCCTCCCTGCAAGCACAATTACAGTAAGCAGTGGATTAGAATATAATACAACCAAAGGGTTTGACAACACTGCAGAGAACCATAGACACTCACCGGTGTGCAATACAGTGGCAGGAGACGAGGTGAGGTATGCGAAGCCGCAAACGTGCCACCAAGCCCGACCTTGAACCCATCATGACGGAAGCACCATCAGTGCTGATCCCCACGATGCGCCGAAGGTCAACGCCACATGCCTGCACGTGGGACAGCAACAACTGCAACAGTGACGCAGCATCCGCCTTCTCAACCGTCAGGAGCGCCATGAACTCGGTGACGAGGCGGTGGTCACGGATGAAAGTGACGAACAAAATTAAGTGCTTGCCTCTGCACCGGTCGGTGCTCTCATCGCACGAAATGCCGATGTAGGGACTTGCTAGGATCTTCTCCAGCTGTGTTGTCTGCAGCCATGTTGCTATAGACTGCGTCAGCTCCCCAAATCCGTACCTAGCGGAACAGCAACACAACATCGGGATGATTAAGACGTGCTTTATAAACCCTACAATAAAAAGACAATACAAGAAAATAAACTTACGTGGTGTAGTATGTCCCGTACCCCTTCTTCGGGAAACCGGGGACTCCCCTCTCAGCCAGGTATCGCACCAATCCCACCCAAAGCTCCATGGGTGCGTCCTCCTTGCTGACAAAGAGGAGAGCGTCCAACAGTGATATCACCCGGACCTTTTCGTTGTCGTGCGCGAGAGGATGCTCGTCAATCCGCGGCTGCCTCGTCGCACCAACGAGCTGGTCCTGCCGTTGTATCGCGAGTTTGTGCTTGTTGGTGGCAGCGTGCCGCGTGAAAGCCTGCTTCTGGACGTCGAGTGCTCCTTCGCTACCCTTCCCGGTCTTGCCAGACAGTCCTGCATGTTCCAAGCACACCGAACACTTAAAAGCAGGGAGACCAGTTGCAGTTTTCACAAGCTGCAGCCAGGCAAATTGACCCTGCCACCTCGATTTGAACCTATCGAGAGCAACGGCGTAAATCTCATCGGTAGTAGCTGACGGCTGGTTAGAGGCCGCAGCCTTGGGTACAGGCGGAAGCGGGACGTCGGTCGGTGCCACTGATGGCGCAGATTTGTCGCGAATGAAGTTAAGCTTAGACTGAACGAGGCGACAAGCTGGGGACGCCGAGGCAGCTGCTGGAGGGTGAGATGCAGGTGGAACGAGGCGAGAAGCCGGGGAGGCCACGTCGGGAGGAGGTCGTTGCGATGCTGCGGGGTCGGGGCGAGAAGCGGATGGCGGAGGAATGATTGGAGAAGTCGGGGAAGCCTCTGCTGGTGTCGACGTGGAAAAATGTACCGTCATCGGTATATCTTCCTCACCATTCGTGCGTGGCGTTGTTCTATCTAAGACTGTGGCGCCAATCGAATCTGGTGGGGCGGAAGTAACGGTAGGAATTGCTGTAGGTGTAGTATCTGTATGGTTCTTGCTACGCCCGGGATTGGTTGCTTTGGAAAGCGAGCACATCAATAGGTCTAGACCCGTGCGTGCTATCTCGCCCTCAATGTCGTCAGGCTCGTCTCTTGCAGCATCGCCGTCCATGGGAAGAGCCATGGTGGCAGTAAGGATGAGAGGAGAAGGTGGAGAGAGTCAGCCGAGAAAACAGAGAGTGAAGCACGGCAAACACAATCTAAGAACGGGGAGAAGAAGATGGGCAAGGGAGGGACACCCCACCTCGCACGTGATTGGTTGACACTCACAAACGAACCCCACCATGCAGGTGTGGATGGTTCCCGATGGCACATCCAGATTCCACAGCGACTCGGTTAAAACCAACAAGTCGTGGAATCTTGCCGGTCATGGCAACGTGATTGGGTATGGCGTGTGATTAGCCGAAACTGCCCAATCACACCCAAATTTGAAAGATGATGGTGACAACACACTAAGTGAGGTGAGAGTGGAAGTACAGCAAAGATGCCGTTTCCCGTGATTGACGGTGACGGCGGTAAATCCGGGCGAAAATTTTGCTGTATCCATTGAATCTAGGCCAAGTCAGCATCGAGGATGGCCTCGCTACTGTATGATTCGAATCAGGGTCCTCTACCAAATTTAAGCTGAAATTTCAGGCCTTGAACAAAATTTCTCGCTGGAAATAAAGTATGACCAGGAAAAAAAAAACTTTTTCATCAGTGTTGGGTCCAAGAAAAACCCTGAAAATCAGAGTTCAAAGTCAAAATCAGGGTAAAATTCCTGAAATCTGAGGGCCTGCGCCGGAGCCATGTTAGCTAAGTTGTGCTGAATGATATCGTTGAGGAGTGTTGTCCGGGCTGTGAAGCGCGGAAGGGATTGTGTCTTCGCCAGAGTGACGAGAACGAGAAATTAGAACTACAAATTGAGAAATGAAAACGTGGGTGGGGACGAATGTCCCCACGTCCCTCTTTTGTAGGCAAAAGAGGGCTAGTAGCGCTTTGGCGCTACCTTTGCTGTGTTGGCCACGTACCCCTTTTCACAATACAATTTTTTAGAAAGTGTTACATTTCATTACACTTTCAAAAATTATCATATGTATTCGACACGGCATTACTAGTACCGGAAAATACGACAATGCTTCTGAGTTTTTGAAATGTTGTACGGTATCGTACACCATTTCAGCAATACCATAACATATTGTGGCACATATTCCACATGCGAATGTACTGCATAATCTACCATGTGTAACTATTATCTAGCATATTGAGAGTGCACCGATGGAAGTCCTGAAATGACCAAATCAAAGAGGTTTCATTTCAGATGAGTCTCATCATGAGACCAAATGTCTGGTAAAAAAAGCTCAGATGAGACCAAATGTCTTGTCTGAAAAACCTACCCAAGTGGTTGTACCTACTTACCTGATACTCCCAACCCAAGCCCAATATTAATCTCAGAAACATTCCCCAACCCACCTCTCTCTCCTTCCCTCTCCCAAAACTATGTTCAACCTGCTGCAAAACCTTTGTCTGCTCAGCTGGGAGACAGTCACATCCAAATCCCTTACCAGCTGGACTCACCTGCACTCCATTTCCAGTCTCAACCAGCCAACACCGCAGCCTCTCAGAACTCTCTGGCCTCTCATACTGCTCTCCGCCCTTAAAAACGTCTCTCCAGCCCCCCATAACTCCTCACCAGCCTCTCATAACTCCTCTCCACCCTCTCATAAGTACTCCTGCAGCACTCCAGCAGATTCAATATCATGTCACGTGTGACCTCTTCTCACGCCCTGCAGCAGCTGAACCAAACCACAGACACTGGCCTTCCATCCATGCCTTCGTCTTGCTTCTTCCGTGTCTTGGTCCTTCACCCTGCATTGCCCCTGCACAAACTGCATCCGTATTTCAGCCTCTCCTTCCGTCCCTATTCCTTCACCTACATTCTATCTCCATTATCTCATTCCGCGTCCCAAGGGTGTGGTTGGCCTGCTCCCTGCCACGGGCGTGCCAGGCTGGCTCCCAGTTACACTGCCGCCCGATCTGATCTGAGCGAACTCACGAAGCATCGCTAGCAAAGCTCGCGAATCCGAATCCGGCTTGCTGTTACCCGCGAGTTTCACCAACGGCGGTAAACACCCCTCGCTGAGGATTTCGCTCATCGCGTCGTCGCCATCGGCCTTCGCCAACGAAAGTAACGTTCCTGCCGAAAGCTCCGCCGCCTTTTCGGAACCAGATTCCATAATCCCGATAAGGGTAAACTCCACGTCTTCCTCCTTTCTCAACGCATAAACACCCTGCGGGTACTTAACTAACGCGCAAAGCAACACCGCCGCTTTTTCCTCCACTCCCGCCTCGTCCTCCCCTTCTAGCAGCGCAAACACTTGGCGAACCAGCCCGTGTTTAATTGCGTCCTCCGCAGCTTTCGGAAATAACGACAGGTTGTAAAGCGCAAGGCAGCAATCCTTCTTGGTGCGCGCGCACGTCGCCTTACGGAGGAGATTAATCAGCGGCGGGACAGCTCCAGCCGACCACACAACCTTCTTGTTTTCCTCCGCATTCGATAGCGCGAAGAGTGCCGCCGCGGCGTTCGATTTCGCCACCTCAGTCGCCTCGAACGATCCGTCCGGTCTAGGACTCATCAACGAGCCGTTGCTTGCATCATTAGCACCCCTCGGAGTTAAACACATCCCGCCGCGCGATGTCTTTAAAACTTCGACCAGGTTCCTAACGCCGCCGGCGGAGACGACTTCCATGGCGCCGTCCCATTGAAGAGAGAGGTAGAGTGTCGCGGCCGACGCTTGCTCGACGATCGGACCGTCCGTTGACAGCAGCATCTGCATCAACGGTCGGATGCCCCCCGCGGCGACCAATCGCGTGCGATTCTCCGGCGCCTCTTTCAGCGCGATCCTCAGCGTATGAACCGCCTCACGACGTTGTGCGACGTCGCCCGTTCGCAGAGCGTCGATTAAAGGTCTCATCTCAGTAACAGAGCCCTGCTCGCTCGTGCGCCGGCTTCGTCGCGTCGGAGTCGCGCTTAGAAACTGCTTCGAATACGGCACCGTCTCCTGCGGCGACGCGGATCCGCGACGCGACCCCTGACGCTGCGCCCTTCCCGCGTTACCCCCCGTGTTTCCAGCCAAGAACGACCCGAGCGCTTCGTCGTTCTTCGCATCTTCATCCGCAGACGACAGCCACGGGTCGCTGCTATTCCGAGGCAGCATCCTCGGGCTCGCAGAAGCGTCGCACGGAGTTGCAGGCGACAGCTCCCCTTTCCTACGGGGCGACATCGTCCGTTGAAGAGGGCCGTCGTTCGCACTTGGCCGAAGATGCTTAGGAATAGCTGGCGGCATGTTCGCAGCGGCGGGACCGGCGGAAACGTAGGCGTTAGCAGAGGAGGAATTGTTGAGTTTATTAGGCGTCTCTACCGCGGCAGGACCTGAACCGCCTGCTGAGCTGCCCGTGGTCGAAGCGCCTGCAGCGGAGCTGCCGTCACTACTGGATTGCATGGAATGGCGCCGCTCGAGAACCGACAGCGGGGATATTCTTGGCGACGCCGCGCTGCCTCCGCCGCCGGTCGCGGCGGAGCTCTCGGCGGAACCTGCGGCTGCGCGATCCGCTGCCGCCGCTGCTGCTGCCCGAGCCTTCGCCAGATTGAACTGTTCTCCAGAAGCGCCGGGGGATGGCGGAATCGACGGGTTGCGCGTATTCTCCGCAGCTGGCGTCAGCGGGCTCGACGGGCGGAGAGGCTTGAGCGTGACCATGTGAGATTTACACCAATCGGAGATGAGCTTCTGAAGCGCCTCGTTGGGAGTGAGCATCTGGTGGGCGAGCGGCTCGCCGGTTTTGGGACAAGTGGACCTTCCTTGCGCGAACCAGCGCTCGATGTAGACGCGCTCGAAGCTTTTGCCGGAGCTGATTATGACGGGGTCGCGCATAACCTCGCTAGAAAGTGGGCAGATAAATTCTTGAGGGAAGGAAACGCGTGGGGAGGGGATGGAAGCCGCCGGAGGCCTTTGAAAGGCGGACTCCTGCCGTAGCCAGTCAACAGCCGCCATTGTTGCTGACGGTCAGAGATGATAAAGAACAAGTGGTCCAGCAGCACACGGAGCTAAACGAGAAACCCGATCATCTGACGAAGCATGAAGTATATTGATGATGGTACGCTGGATCTAAAACGCCAGAGCTGGAAGAGTAAGGCACAAGGTTTGGTAATTCCTTGTGAAGGTATGCGACACTTTTCGACGGAGCGCGTCTAAACGACTAGAAAGAAGGTGCAGCAAGGAACCTGTCTAGCATAGTACAGTACTGTATTGCCCACCTAAGAGAGAAGTTTGCTCTAGAATGGGCGTTGTCGCGATGCTAGCTTCTGTAGCGAATGGCTTGGTCGGATGCTGGAGGGAGAATTATAAAGATGCTCGTTCTTACGACTCATGCATCCTCCAGACTTGAAAATGGAGGGAAAGAGATGGAGGCCACAAGATGCACTGGCTGCCGTGCTTGTGGATGAGAAAACGGCGAGAGGATACGCGACAGAAAACCTGCAATTGGTTTCTTCCGCAGTGAGGCCAACTGAAAGGCTTGAATGCGGGAAACGGAGAAACCGGACCGATGTAACTGAACTGATGCTTGTATGCACGATGCTGCACGGTCTGAAAGGAGGAGCTGGGAAGGGAAGGGAGCGAAGGGGTGGGTGCAGGGCTGTCGATTGGTTTGGAGCCAGAACTTGAGAGGCTGAGGTGCCCAAAAAGTTGCCCTGAAATTTACGGGCTGAGAGCCAACCTGGCACTTCAAATCAGGGCTACCAACTTTTCTGCCCTTTTGCTAAGGAAAACCTAAATCTCTTCGGGTCCGTATCCTAGGCAACTACTAAGAGCCAGCTAGGCAATAGTCTGAGGTACGAAACATGTTGATGGATTTGACGGGGATGGGAAAAGGAAGTAGGGGAGTGGCTGGGAGGAGGTTGGGGGACTGGTGAGCGAATGGGAGGGAGGGAAGTATTAGTATGGGACGGTAAGGGCTAGCCACGGGATCTGCACTTGAAATCCGGGTTAGGCCCACAACCAGCACTTTGCGGGAAAGAGCTGCCCTCAAAGCCAGCCCTTAAACTTCGGAATCTGGGCCAAACCCAACCCTTAATGTTCAGGGCATTAAGGGCATTTGCCCTTGAATCGTCAGCCCTGGGTGGGTGGGAGGGAGGGAAGGGCTGTGGGATGCAGGCTGTACTCTATGAAAAATTACCCTGATTTGGCAGAAGAACGTGGTGTAAGACTATGACGCGTTCAATCCAAAAAGGGTAATTTGAATCGTCGACTCCTGAAGACTCAGGCTTTAGACTTCCCCCAATCGATTCGAGATGCTTGAGAATATGAGTGCTACCCGCCCCCAGCTCCGAGTCCTTCCTTCTCTCCACCCAGTGTCGGTCACTAGTGATCTGATGGGGGAGTCAAGCCTCCTCCTCCTCCCATGCTTCCAATAAATCACGTGGGCCTGTTTTGGGAATCTGTGGCGCTTAGATTCCAATGACGTTTAGTGGAGTGGAGTGCTGTGAATTTTAAGGTGTTTCGCTGGTTTGGTTCGAGATTGGTTGGGCTGGTTGCTTGGGCGCACCAACACACAGTCACCACGAGGTTACAGTGCAGCCATGAAATCCGCGGCGTGAGCATAGCCACAAGACGACCGAGGGCTGACCTGTCTTATCTGTTCCAGCAGCCCCTGCGCTGCGATACTGTCCGTCGAACAGACAATTCTTGCGCGCGCCATGCAAGCCAACGTCGAATTCTGTAGTTCACAGTTTGTCGGATGTGGAATGCCAAGAAGTGCCAACTACTGTATCGAATTTTAAAATCGGACGATTGTCATTGCTCAACATACTTTGCCGTTGCTCGATCGAAGGGGGTCTATTGATCGATTCGATAGATATCCACTCTGGTTTGGTTTGGGTTTCACCCTCTGTACTGTAGCACATAGCCCACACCACCCCCCCAACCAAGCAAGCGGCCAAGCACATATTCTGCGCCAAACAAGTGGTCTCCCCCCCAAAAAAGATCCATTTCAGTCCCGTCCGCAGTTGCTTGTACACCCTGTTTCTCACTACACTGAACTGTGCCGAAATGGTGGAAACCCTTGTTATCTTTGATCTGTCAGATTGGACCATACCAAGACCTAACTTGACAACCGCTAACCGTGCTTTTTCCATCCGGAGTTCACTATAACCGAGTTTACAATGTCAAGAAAAGAGTGTAGTAGTGGTAGTGGTGGTGGTGAATCACGACGTTGATTCGTGCGAAAAACGTACACCAAACGCACCTTACACTCACCTACGAAAAACATTAAACAAAATTGTATAAATGCATTTCGCCACGGGCAACTGAGAACTTCGAAGGTTCATGTTCGGATTATCTTGTGATAGTACGGATGAAAACCCTTGTTGAGTCCAGGTAACAGCGGTTTCTGAATAATTATGAACACATTTTCTCTCCAAGTTTAAAACAGTCGTGTTAGTTTTAGTAAAATATTCGATGGAGCGGACAAAAACAATCGGCAGCTGCCAGTATCAAGCTGCAAATAGGCGATGACAAATTCTAGGGATAGTAATTTATCAAGCATCAAAGTGTAGCCGTACAATAGTTCCTCTTGCGGCAAGAGAATGGTCAGGGCAGTGAAGGATGAAGTGGAAAGGAATTGTGAAGCATGATGTGTAGGGCGGGATGCCCTGACGTATCTTGCATTTGGACGATTTTTACAACTCTATATGTGTGGTCCGTGGTTGCGCTAACCCCCGAAGGGCAAGGATTCGAGGTCAGAATTAATGCGATCAGCAAACCTGCGACAGCAAATCTCGGAGAGTGTGGTGAGAAAAACTCACAGAAAAATGTGTCACGTGGAGGTGACAGTAGCCGGCCAATAAGAGGTGAGGAATAAGTGAGTCTGACGATGACGTGACGCGATGCATCGCAGCTGTATTTTCCACTTCCAACAAAACATGCCATCCGTGCCAGCATGTGCATGAATCAGAAGCAGCCGCAATTGATAGAGGATGCCATCCTAGGTGAGCCTTGGCAGCTGGCAGTTGTACTTCGTAATACACGTGATGTCCAGCCTTATTCTGTGCATCTGTAATAGCGCTCCTAAAACTAGGGACATCGTGCGTTCGAAAACAGAAACGGTACATCGTTTAGAGTCACGTATAATGCGTACATATGGAAAAAGACACATCAATTACAGAGTTACCCAGGCGCACCAACTGCGTACATATGGAAAAATACACATCAATTACACAGTTACCCAGACACACAAACTGCGTACGTATGAAAAAATGCACATCAATTATACAGTTATCAAGGAAAACCAAGGTAAGTAACCGAAGAAACTCAGGAATCCAAAAAAAGTGTACACTCCCTTTTTTCCCTTGGTAAACTTGAAAAAGGCCAGCTAAATAACAGTTAATTTTAAAGTCACTCTAATGCTAAAACAGGATGAATGTTCACTACGTTAACAACTACGCATTTTGAAGTCCACCCTTGCTAACACAAGTAAAAAGATACGCATCGATTAGTCAAATGATGCAAAACAATTGAAGCTCAAAAGTTTTTTAAGAATGGCGAATACATATGTCAGAACATTATAGCTTATACTTTTCTGTAGGCTGTAGTGGGGTAGCCCATAAGAGGTACAACCCAATTACGGTTAGTACTTGTACCCAACTGTTTTATAGTTCATTCATTCTCGTTTCAGTTTTCACATGGTATAGAGCGGGTTCCCTCGTGGGAACGCTTCCTAGGGCCCACCCAATCGATCTTTTTTTTCCTGCCCGGAGCGCGCTTCGCTCCTCCACGAGCCGCGCCCCGCGTGCCCTCCCTACCGTCGCGCCCTCCCTAGGCCCCTTACGGCCCCGTCGCGTCGCCCTTAGCGGCCCCTCTGACGGCCCTTCCAGCCGCCCTTACGGCCCCTCGCGCCGCCCTTACGGCCCCTCGCGCCGCCCTTGCGGCCCCTCGCGCCGCCCTTCACGGCCCGTCGCCGCCCTTCGCGGCCCCTAGCGCCGCCCTTACGGCCCGTCGCCGACCTCCGCGGCCCCCCTCGCGCCGCCCTTCACGGCCCGTCGCCGCCCTTCGCGGCCCCTCGCGCCGCCCTTACGGCCCGTCGCCGACCTCCGCGGCCCCTCGCGCCGCCCTTCACGGCCCGTCGTCGCCGCACGTCGGCTCCGCACGCCGCCATTGCGACCCTTCGAGCCGTCCGTCGGCCCGCCGTGCGCCGCCCTTGCGGCCCCTTGCGCCACCCTACCCGGCCCCGGCGCCTACTCCTGCAGCCCCGGCGCCGCCCTTCCCATCACCCGGCCTCGCCGCCGCTCCACCTGGCCTCGCCACCGCTCCACCTGGCCCCTCGAGCCGCCTTTTGCGGCCTCCTCACGGCCCCACGGCCGTCCCTGAGTCAGGAGCCGCCGTCGCCGAGCCGCCCAGCAGCCGAGCCGCCGAGCCGCCCAGCAGCCGAGCAGCCGAGCCGCCGAGCCGCCGAGCCGCCCAGCAGCCGAGCCGCCGAGCCGCCGAGCCGCCTTGCAGCCGAGCCGCCCACACCGGTGAGCCGCCCGAGCCGCCCTGTCCGGTAAGAGCAGCGCCTCTGCCACTGCACTGCCCTTATCCTACTGTTCGCGCTGCTAGTCTACTACTGTCATGGCTACCCCTAGTGTCCTCCCCTTTGACTATGAGGGTCGGGCCATTGACTTTGACGTCTGGATAGATGACCTGCAGCTTTTCTTATAGTGCGATAGTGCACACGGTCTCTCCCTATTTGACCTCACCTCTGGTGCGTCTCCTGCCCCTACTGCTGATGCTGACGCCACTGTTCGCTCATAGTGGGCCACACGCGATGCTGCTGCACGTCTTGCTGTGCGTCGCCACCTGCCTACCTCTGAGCGTGCGCACTTTAGCCAGTACAAGAGTGCTCAGACCTTGTATGATGCTGTAGTTGCACGCTACTCCTCCCCTGCCACTACTGCACTGAGCCGCCTCATGCTACCGTACCTCTTCCCTGACCTTGCTGCCTTTCCCACAGTCACTGA